TTTACCCCCATGTCAGATTTGCTCTAAATGCTTTGGTTTCAGAGATATAAGCCAAAATCTACATTTTACCCCTATGTTCTGTTTTTAGCCATGGTGGCCATCTTGGTTGGCGGGCCGGGTCACTGGAAACATTTTTTAAACTAGGTACCCCAATGATGATTGTGGCCAAGTTTGGTTAACTTTGGCGAAGTAGTTTCAGAGGAGAAGATTTTTGTAAAAGTTAACGATGGACAACGACGGACGCCAAGTAATGAGAAAAGCTCACTTGGCCCTTTAGGCCAGGTGAGCTAAAAATAAATGATGTTACACAGGGACTAAACTTAACTGTTTTCCTCCAGGGGCCAACTGGGCCCCTAAAATATTTTTTTCAGGGGCCCAGTTGAAATTTTAGGAGCCCAACCAATTTTTATACTAATAAAAAATAAAATGCTTCGCTGGGGCGCAGCTTGATACGACCGCAGAGGTCGAACCCTGAACAGTTGGGGCAAGTATGGACACAACATTCAAGCTTGATACAGCTATGAATTTGGATTGTTATTAAATATTTGACACAGCATAGGTTTCTGACACAGAAAGAATGTGGTCTAAGAACTTGAATTTTTTTAATTTACCTATTATGGTCCAATGTCCAAAATCAAAATACATGGTTAGATTCAGCATATCAAAGAACCCCATATATTCAATTTTTGTTAAAATCAAACAAAGTTTAATTTTGGACCCCAACTTGGACAAACTTGAAAACTGGGCCCATAATCAAAAATCTAAACACATGTTTAGATTCAGCATATCAAAGAACCCCAAGAATTCAATTTTTGCTAAAATCAAACTAAGTTTAATTTTGGACCCTTTGGACCTTAATGTAGACCAATTTAAAAAAGGACTTAAAATTAAAAATCTAAATACACGGTTAGATTTGGAATATCAAAGAACCCCAATAATTCAATTTTTGATGAAATCAAACAAAGTTTAATTTTGGACCCTTTTGACCTCAATATGAACCAATTTGATAGCAGGGCCCACAAATAAAAAATCTAAATTCATGGTTAGATTCAGCATATCAAAGAACCCCATATATTCAATTTTTGTTGAAATCAAAAAAAGTTTAATTTTGGACCCCAACTTGGACCAACTTGAAAACTGGGCCCATAATCAAAAATCTAAACACATGTTTAGATTCAGCATATCAAAGAACCCCAAGAATTCAATTTTTGTTAAAATCAAACTAAGTTTAATTTTGGACCATTTGGACCTCAATGAAGACCAATTTAAAAAACGGGACCCAAATTAAAAATCTAAAAACACGGTTAGATTTGGCATATCAAAGAACCCCAATAATTCAATTTTCGATGAAATCAAACAAAGTTTCATTTTGGACCCTTTTGACCTCAATATGAACCAATTTGATAGCGGGGCCCACAAATAAAAAATCTAAATACATGGTTAGATTCAGCATATAAAAGAACCTCATATATTCAATTTTTGTTGAAATCAAACAAAGTTTAATTTTGGACCCCAATTTGGACCAACTTGAAAACTGGGCCCATAATCAAAAATCTAAATACATGTTTAGATTCAGCATATCAAAGAACCCCATATATTCAATTTTTGTTGAAATCAAACAAAGTTTAAATACTGGACCCTATCTTGGACCAACTTGAAAACTGGGCCCATAATCAAAAATCTAAACACATGTTTAGATTCAGCAAATCAAAGAACCCCAAGAATTCAATTTTTGTTAAAATCAAACTAAGTTTAATTTTGGACCCTTTGGACCTCAATGTAGACCAATTTAAAAACCAGGACCCAAAATTAAAAACCTAAATACACGGTTAGATTTGGAATATCAAAGAACCCCAATAATTCAATTTTAGATGAAATCAAACAAAGTTTAATTTTGGACCCTTTTGACCTCAATATGAACCAATTAGATAACGGGGTCCACAAATAAAAAATCTAAATACATGGTTAGATTCAGCATATCAAAGAACCCCGTATATTCAATTTTTGTTGAAATCAAACAAAGTTTAATTTTGGACCCCAATTTGGACCAACTTGAAAACTGGGCCAAAAATCAAAAATCTAAAAACATGTTTAGATTCAGCATATCAAAGAACCTCATATATTCAATTTTTGCTAAAATCAAACAAAGTTTAATTTTGGACCCTTTGGACATTAATGTAGACCAATTTGAAAACTGGACCCAAAATTAAAAATCTAAATACACTGTTAGATTCGGCATAACAAATAAATAAATGTGATCAAAGATTTTACAAATCTAATGCGCCATACTGTGCAATTAAAGATTACTTCTTGAAATTTTTCAATATTTGAAATTTGAAAAAAAAAAAATATTTGAAGAATAATTCTTTTTAATTTCTGAAATCTGAAATGAGAAAAAATTGGCCCCTCACAATTTCTTTTTATCCCCCCCCCCCCTTTTTCCCCCAAAAAAATTCTTTCCCTCAAGATATGGTCATAATCTCAATTCAAATTTCCAATGGAGTTGGCAACCATAATTACCCATTTAAATTTACCATAGTGCTAACTTAATCTATTTTATAATAGAATTAATAAAAATATAGGCTCAAATCTTTCATATGGATTTTTTTGTAAAAAAAAAAGATGAAAACATTTGCAGATATTTTTACTGGTCTTCCTTTATAAATATGCATTTCTTTAAACATAATTTAAAAGCAGTGTAAGGGAAGTAACCAAAACGTTGTATTTGGATTACCTCCCTTACACTGTTTTAGATTATCTTTATTGTTCATTAACCATTACTTTATACATAATTTAAAAGCAGTGTAAGGGAGATAATTTCAATGATGTATTTGATTTATCTCCCTTACACTGCTTTAAATTATGTTTTGTACTAAAGTATTTGTCCATTAACCAGGACAACCTTGTTTTTCCCCCTTTTTTGCCCCTAATTCCTAAACGGTTTGAGCCATAACCCCCCAAAGCAAATCCTAACCATCCCTTTGTGGTATGGAAACTTGTAGTATAATTTCAGAGAGATCCATACACCGTTTCACAGTTATTGTCTGGAAACTAGAAAATGCTCATTTTTGGCCCCTTTTTGGCCCCTAATTCCTTAACTGTTGGTACCATAACCCCCAAAATCAATCCCAACCTTCCTTTTGTGGTATTTAACCTTATGGTCAAATTTCAAAAAGATCCATTCACTTAAACTAAAGTTAGAGTGCGAAAACCAATATGTATTCGGACGACGACGCCGGACGACGACGACGACGACGACGACGACGACGCCAACGTCATACCAATATACGACTACAAAATTTTTTTGCGGTCGTATAAAAACTGAAATGTACTTTTCATATACTAATAAAGCCTTATTAGGTAATCCCACTTGTAGCTTTTGAGTCTGGTAAAGATTTTGTGTGATAACTTTATAATATTTGAATTATTGCCACCAGAAATATATCACAAAATTTTACCATACTGATTTTATTACATATTAATTTGCAGATTACTTAAGTGTTGTTATCATCTAGCAGCATTTAGAATACTGATTTTAGTACATTTCCTACAGAAATTGTCTCCCTTCAATTTCAACTTCCGGTTGACCTTTTGACAATATGGCTTTTTCTATGAATCATTAAAAGCTATCTCAAATCCAAGCCATCCTCTAATAGTGTTGATCAAAAATATTATTCAATTACTTTTTATTGAAGATTGGATATCAAACTAGATATTGTGATATTTATTTACGAGATTTTGCGTTTCGTTTTTCATTGAAGATTTTGTAAATAGCAATTCGTGGACAAGTTACCGTCTAAAACGGGCTTGTAATGACTCACTTGACAACTGGAATGCATCCCTTTCGCGATGCATATTGAACAGTTTTATAGAAGAAAACACTAAACAATAATGAAATAATCGTAGAAGATTTAAAAGAGGGTTAAGAACACATGCTTAAAGGAGGTATATGTCAAATCGTGACTTCGTATTGAAAACATAGTTGTCCGACGGGGTTTGGGTTATTAAAATGAACTTACTGGCTTTCAGAAATTCCCTCTTTAATTATCCTGCTTTGATTAGGCAAGCAGGTTTCTGTTTGGGAACAGTTTTTGTTTATATCACAGTGGAAAGGGTAGAAATGGGATTCACTTCAAAATATTTTACAGTCGCCAGCTGTGCGATCAGGATGATAAAATATATTCGCCCAGCCGAAAATCTGGTTGCCTTGGGCGACTTGGCGAGCGTTAAGTTTAGTCCCTGTTGTTTGAAACGTGGTTTGGAAAGAAATATAAAGTTTTAAATGCAATACATGTAGATTGATGAAACATGAACTATACTATAGGCAATTTTCATCACTTGCTAATGAAGTAACAAATACATTTTCCCAAAAATCAGAATGTTTTGATGTACTCTCAAATAACAAGTACTGGAAGTAAAACAAAAATACCATGTTGAAAAGTTGTTTCTTTGAAATAACATACGTCCAATCTGTAAAGTCAATGACAATGTTTTGACCACGTTTCTAGAGAAATGAAATGTTCATTTCTATGAATTTCTTGTCTAATCATAGAAAAATTGCTGTTGCATCAATTTGGTAAAAATGGAAAATTGCTGATGATAGCAGCTTGCCCCAGTTTCCCAGTAGCATGAGCCTGCCCCTACTGTCTGAAGAACGCCAGCTACATGTAGAACATGTCAACCTGGTTTTTTTATTTTTTTGGAATACCATTAACATTTGCCTTCAGCCTTTTGGAAGAACTCTAGACAGACTGTGATACTTGTGTTCTAGCCAATCAGGTGCAAGATCAAAATTTGTACATCTTAAAAAAAGAAGAACATTGTATTTCTTTCCAATTTTTTGGACTCTTTGTTCACTGTGTAGGACTGGGACATTGTCATTGTGAAAATATATGTGGGAACTAACATGTGTTCTGCTTTTTTTTTTGCTTATTTGACCTTTAGCAGTTGTTTAAAATCTTCATTTTCATTAAACTGTTTCTATTTAACGTAACACATACTCAGAGATTTATACATATACTTCAAAACTCAATATTTTCACATTTCAATACATCGTTATTTTCGTTTTTCTATCGATCTTCCTGTCTGCTACGTCAAGCATGCGCACTTAAGGGAGAAGGGGGATAACTCATTCAAGTTTTTTGGCGCGAGAATTACAAATAAGAAAGTTGTGTTATTTTCATATTGAGGGTATTTTTACTCAGGATTCACTGCTTCGTTACTTATACGATTTATAACATTGCATTACTAAATTTGCCGTTGATTCATCTGAGACCACTAAGTAGTCTCAAGATGAATTAAGAAAATCACAATCGTGCACCACTGATGCATTCTGGAGCCTCCTCTTGGGGTTCAAGTTTGATAATGTGATTACTTGGCCGTTTTTATAGTGGTTATTTGATTACCAGACCAAATATTTCTTGATAATTTGATTATTTGATAATCTAGAACTGTATTTTTGATTATTTGATTATCTTGTTTCAAAAAATAATTAATGATTATGTCGGATTATATTGGCAAAAATAATTATGATTATGTGATTACTTGGACACCCCCATGAGGGCCTCAATTCTGACAGATTATTCAAGATCTAAGATTTAAAATGAGTTCATGGGTTTCTGACACTTTCAAGATTTAGAATCCCAAAGTTGTGCATGATTTTTGTTCTCTCTTCAATCACGTCCGACAATTCTTGTTACAGTAGACAAAAGCCCAAACAATATTGTTTTATATGCAAAAACCTTTATTTGGAATGTCTTATTAAAGAACTTGGAATTCACAGCAAAACGAAGATCCCAACATTTCCCCCTACACCATTCAAATAAGAGATTTTAGAAAATCATAAATCCGTCCTTTTCTGTTTTTAGTATTAAGATACAAAAAAAGGGATGATGAATTTCTCCAATTTCTAAACTGGATAAAAAAAAACTTCTCAAATATATCCTTATATAAAAAAAATAATATATATGACGGGGTCGTCCAGATATTTGACTCAGAATCTTTTTAATTGAATTTCTTACGTCATCTCATTAAAAAAAGCTTTTCTTACAAAAAAAGGAAACGTAGATACACATTCCTTGTTTTATGTCATGAAAAATCTTACTTTGTGAAGAATCACACTGATTACACCGAATATGATATCATCAAAATGCTGGACTTTTTGATCGTAAACGTATTTCTTGAGTTTGGTGGGTTCATATTTCAATATACAATTGATACTGTCCACCACTACTGGCCGACTTGGTTTTGCACCCACATGAAGCAGATTTCAGCATACAGAACTTCTTCAAAGATCTAAAGAAAAATCATTTTTACCGAAATTTTTTATTTCACTTTCAGATATATTGATGATATTTCTGCCGCCCAATAACCCTGATTTCAATGAATTTTTACATCTGATAATATATCCTAAAGAACTTGAGACTAAGAATACTTCCGAAAGTAAAAGGTCTGCTTCATATCTGGATTTTTTCCTCGATATTGGCAACGATTGACGGTTGGACTTTAAACTAGAATCTATGACAGACGTGATATGTCAACTTCGCATTTCTCAGCAGTAACATACCCTCTGTTCCATCTTATGGTGATTACATATCTCAGTTACTTAAAATACGTTTCGCTTGAGCATGTTCACACCATTCGGACCTAATTCTAACAGGTATGTGCTTCTTACACAAAAGTTGCTCCAGCCGAGTTATATAAGGAAGAACGACTGTAATAGTCACTACTGCTACAATTACGTTTTACGGCCACCGTCACGAATTAGTAGATTAATACATCGTGTCGTTGGCTCGATTCACTAGCGACATGTTTTTGCGTTCTAGCTTAGATCTTTGATACCAGTATATATTTGTCTGATCTGTAATTTAACCGATTGTGTCCAATTTTCTATCTTGACATTTTGACTGAGTTGTGAATTCGCATGGCGGGTGATGCTTGCATAGCAGGTATAGATATAAGAAGATGTGGTATGAGTGCCAATGAGACAACTCTCCATCCAAGTCACAATAGATATAAGAAGATGTGGTATGAGTGCCAATGAGACAACTCTCCAGCCAAGTCACAATAGATATAAGAAGATGTGGTATGACTGCCAATGAGACAACTCTCCAGCCAAGTCACAATAGATATAAGAAGATGTGGTATGAGTGCCAATGAGACAACTCTCAATCAAAGTCACAATAGATATGAGAAGATGTGGTATGAGTGCCAATGAGACAACTCTCCAGCCAAGTCACAATAGATATAAGAAGATGTGGTATGAGTGCCAATGAGACAACTCTCCAGCCAAGTCACAATAGATATAAGAAGATGTGGTATGACTGCCAATGAGACAACTCTCCAGCCAAGTCACAATAGATATAAGAAGATGTGGTATGAGTGCCAATGAGACAACTCTCAATCCAAGTCACAATAGATATGAGAAGATGTGGTATGAGTGCCAATGAGACAACTCTCCAGCCAAGTCACAATAGATATAAGAAGATGTGGTATGAGTGCCAATGAGACAACTCTCCAGCCAAGTCACAATAGATATAAGAAGATGTGGTATGACTGCCAATGAGACAACTCTCCAGCCAAGTCACAATAGATATAAGAAGATGTGGTATGAGTGCCAATGAGACAACTCTCAATCCAAGTCACAATAGATATAAGAAGATGTGGTATGAGTGCCAATGAGACAACTCTCCAGCCAAGTCACAATAGATATAAGAAGATGTGGTATGAGTGCCAATGAGACAACTCTCCAGCCAAGTCACAATAGATATAAGAAGATGTGGTATGAGTGCCAATGAGACAACTCTCCAGCCAAGTCACAATAGATATAAGAAGATGTGGTATGACTGCCAATGAGACAACTCTCCAGCCAAGTCACAATAGATATAAGAAGATGTGGTATGACTGCCAATGAGACAACTCTCCAGCCAAGTCACAATAGATATGAGAAGATGTGGTATGAGTGCCAATGAGACAACTCTCAATCCAAGTCACAATAGATATGAGAAGATGTGGTATGAGTGCCAATGAGACAACTCTCCAGCCAAGTCACAATAGATATAAGAAGATGTGGTATGAGTGCCAATGAGACAACTCTCCAGCCAAGTCACAATAGATATAAGAAGATGTGGTATGAGTGCCAATGAGACAACTCTCCAGCCAAGTCACAATAGATATAAGAAGATGTGGTATGAGTGCCAATGAGACAACTCTCCATCCAAGTCACAATAGATATAAGAAGATGTGGTATGACTGCCAATGAGACAACTCTCCAGCCAAGTAAAAATTTATAAAAGTAAACCATTATAGGTCAAAGTACGGTCTTCAACACGGAGCCTTGGCTCACATCGAACAGCAAGCTATAAAGGGCCCCAAAAATTACTAGTGTAAAACCATTCAAACGGGAGAACCAACGGTCTAATCTAAATAAAAAACGAGAAACACTAATGAACCACATCAACAAACGACAACTACTGAACATCAGATTCCTGACTTCGCTGTTAAACTATTTGATGCACCCGGTCCTACTCCTTTTGGGGTTCATTGCGATTCGATCAGTTTTTGTTTGTTACCTTGATATTAGCAGTTTTGTACACAGATTGATGGAAAGAAAGATGATTTGACCATACTACGTCTAATGTAAATAAATTAGCCCAACTTTCTCAATTTTGTTTTTTCGTAATGTTGAAGTTCAGTTATCAGTACCATCGCATAAAGCAATAAAACATGTGTAGCTGGTGTCGGGGCCTTTTATAGCTGACTGTGCGGTACGGGTTTTGCTCATTGTTGAAGGCCGTACGGTGACCTATAGTTGTTAACTTCTGTGTCATTTGGTCCCTGGTTGAGAGTTGTCTCGTTGGCAATTATACCACACCTTCTTATTTTTATAAATACACATGCAATGACGAAATAAAGATGATGTTCTCTCACTAAATAATTCAAAATTTGGTGACTATCCCATCGAACTTGCAATTGAGATAAAGGATACAACAGATACAGTTAAGTCTGCCTCATATCTTGATATACATCTAGAGATTGACAATGAGGGTCGTTTGAAACCCAAACTTTACGACAAAAGAGATGATTTCAGCTTCCTAATTGTGAACTTTCCATTTTTATGTAGCAACATTCCAGCAGCGCCTGCATACGGAGTATATATTTCCCAGTTGATACGATATTCCAGGGCTTGTATTTCCTGTCATGATGTCCTTGATAGAGGGTTGCTGCTCACAAGGAAGCTATAAAACCAAGAGTTCCAAGTGGTGAAGTTGAAATCATCCTTTCGTAAATTTTTCGGATGCATCACGAGTTGGTTGACCGTTATGGGATATCCGTTTCACAGATGACAGCGGATATTTTCCAATTGTCGCAACTACAATCCCGTCCCCTATTTCCCGAATGTGATCTATAGAATTTTACTTATTACCGGGTTTGTACTAACATGAGCACGACGGGTGCCACATGTGGAGCAGGATCTGTTTCTCCTTTCGGTCACCTGAGATTACCCCAAGTTTTTGGTGGGGTTAGGGTTGCCCAGTCTTTAGATTTCTATGTTGTGTGTTTTTTATCATGGCGTTGTCAGTTTATTTTCTACTTGTGAGTTTGAATGTCCCTTTGGTATCTTTCGCCTCTCTTATAACTCGCCGCACATTACTAGCTCATAAAAACAACATAGAAATATGCAGCCCAATCATCCGAATAAAGTGCTGGATCTTTTCAAAATTGCGTTCTAACTTCTATTGGTTTCTTGTTTTTGACTGTTAGTTGGGTATGTTTTTAACAGAAATTAACAACTATAGGTCACCGTACGGCCTTCAACAATGAGCAAAGCCCATACCGCATAGTTAGCTATAAAAGGCCCCGAAATGACAAATGTAAAACAATTCAAACGAGAAAACTAACGGCCTAATTTATGTACAAAATAATGAACGAAAAACAAATATGAAACACAGCAACAAACGACAACCACGAAATTACAGGTTCCTGACTTGGGACAGGCACATACAGAATGTGGCGGGGTTAAACTAGTTTGAAAGCGCCAACCCTCCCCTAACCTGGGACAGTGGTGTAACAGTTCAACATAAGAACAAACTATAAA